ACAGCCATAGAATGGCAGGGGTATATCTGAAGTTGTGAAGTAGCAGCTATTTCCTGGCTTGTTGAGAATATACAGATGGGAAATGTCTTACCCACAGGTTCCTGTCCAGGCAAGGAAGGGCCAGGGAACATTTAAAAACCTAAGACCCTTCTGAAAAATGGTGGTTCTTTCCCTCTCCATTCAAGAGTCACCTCATCTCCTGGTTCTATCAAGAAATGCTATTCATTCCTATGCTTTCTACATTCACCTGGTCATTTCACAAATAAAACTTGTCTGCAAATGAAAAAAAGAAAAAAAAAGAAACAAATAAAACATATTTCTCCCTTTTTTTTGTATAATTTCCCATTAAAATCACATTTCAATTATGGCCAGAGCTAATATTAAGCATTTTTGTGGAATGCTACTCTTTGGAGCTATTACATAATTTCTGTGATTACCACTTGCCTGAAGATTATTTCTTGAATTTTCTGATTAGCTTCTAGCAGCTCATTGTTTCTGTAGCAATCTGAAATGAGGAAAAGAGTAATGATATCCATGAATCACATGTTTCTTTTCCAATGCTCAAGTGATGTCAATGAGGTTTGTTGCCATTCTAGATAGAGCAGATTTTAATATTAGTACAATGTGGACATTTATGAGCATTATATTGTACATGGCATGTTGTTTATGAATGCATTCATATAATAACTAATTTTTTTTTTACAAATAAACAATTCAATTATTTGGAATTGTGTATTTTAATTTGCTGGAGAGTATGACAGAAAATGTGGCACAGAAATGCAAACTAAAGCCTGGGCATCTTGCATCCTTTACCAATGCCGGTTTGTCTTGTATTGGCTACTCTGCTTCAAATACAACTTCCTGAAAATGTATCTTGGAAAGTGGCAGATGATGACTCAAATGCTTGCCATCATGGAAAAGACCAATATATAGCTCTAGATTTAAAGTTACATGCTGGCAAATTTTGAAAGGCTTTGCTAGAATAAACCTACACATGGAGACTGTAGAATGCCTATGACCCATCTGCTATTCTTTAAAAAGAAAATTTTAAAACAAAAATCAGAGAGAATCCCAGTCAACATTTACTGGGAGAAGTACCAACCACCCTGCCTACTATGTGCTGACCTACCTGGAAGTTTTTGGTTGACAGATTTTTCCACTGTCCATGGTGCTGATTCTTGCTCCAACTTGAAGTTCACATCAGGCTTTGCCATGCAGTACCCTGTTAATGGAAAATAATGTAGTCTTTGCAAAATCACCACTAGTCCTACCAACTATTACACTTTATAAACTACTCTTCCATTAGCAAACTATACAGAAGTATTCTGTTTGGGCATGACAGAATTTCACTCACCCACAGACAGCAGGTTGTTATAGTTCTCAAGCATCACCTCCCTGTACAGGGCCCGCTGAGTGTTGTCCATTGTCTGCCATTCTTCCTGGGTAAAGTCCACAGCCACATCTTCAAAGGACACCAACACCTGTAACAGCACATGTCTCCTCAGTTCTGTATCATTCAATAGAAACACTGACAGTGCATTTTCTCCATATTTAATTTGTAATTTTGATGAATACAGTTCAATTTACAATCTATAGAACATCATAGAGTAACAATAGAATGAAAATATCTTATCCTGTATTACTTTTGCAACTCCAATACTACAACTGGATATCCGTTACTATTCTCTTAGCGGTCACCTTCTCTAAAGTTTCTCATTCTAATGAACTATTGAAGGCATTGTTACAATGTACCTGTAATGAAAGACATCACTCTCAGTTTGTCCCTGTTATTGCCACTCTGCTTTTCAACAGAATTATAACAATCATATTGACACTGAGCCAATATATTAACTCAATAGCAGTAATAGTAAAGTGAATGTAATTCTTCTGAGTTTAATTTGCATTTTCTCTGGATGAAGCTTTATTTACAGTATAGGTAGCAACCTAGAGTTAAAACAAAACAAATTATCTTGCTTTGTATTATTTTTGCAATTCTGAAGCTACAATTCCCTTATTATTCTGTGTTAGACTGTTTTTTATAATAAATATGAGTTCACTCAGTAATCTGTAGACATTCAAAATATATATAAATATTTAAAATTAAATAACATGGTAGATAAAGAAGACACATCTTTAACACTGCACATGATAATGAGGAAATTTTTAATAATTTATTATTGTTTCTCTCAAACATCCTGATATTTGAAAATCACATAGTGCAATAATATAATTCAGTTTTCTTATTCCAACAAGAAATAATAGAATGTTGGAAATATTTTTAAACTGAACTTGCATAAAATAGTAAATATTTTCTGCAATTTATACTAGTATTACATATATATATAATCCAATAATTTTAAATATATATACATATGTATACCATAATCTTTTATCACTTTTTAAATTAAAATCAAGTTAAATGAAAAAATTAAATAAAGATATTTCAATCATAATCAGTTTACTAAACACAATTCATTAAGTTATAGTAGAATATCATTCTTCACGATTTGTTTGACAAAGATGCAAATCAAAGTGACAAGATCACATTTGCACAAATACTGATACACACCATTGTTACTTACTTTTTTGTTTTTGTTGCTTGTGATTCTTTAAGCTACTCTATTAGCTGTCCATCAGCAATGGACTTGGTTCATGGAGACAATAATAACATACATAGACTGCTGACAGGTGGACAATAGCCAAAGTTTATTAGTGACATCACACTTAATAGACCCAGGGTCATATAGAATAAGAATTTGTTGAGCTTATCTAAGGATCCCATCAATTGTTTCTATACCCTTGTTTGGAACTCTTGTTTTGTATATCCCACCACGTGTTCTCATTCACATTCTATACACTCGGTTGATCTCATACAAATAATACCCACTTCGTTATACAAAAGTTATCCATTCAGTTCTCATACAAATGTTATCCTATCAGTTGCAATCCTAGGCTCGCTGACCTTGTAGGGTTACAAAGTCCTTCTACACTACTCTATTTAACAGAAGGTCATATTTCTGTATCTGTATTTAAGATATTTCACTTAACATCTTGCCCTCTAGTTACACTCATTTTGATGGAAGACACAGAATTTTTTTCACAGCTAAGAGTCTATTGTACAAATACTATGCTTTCCTTATTCATTCATATAATGATGGACACCTTGATTCATTCCATATTTGGATATTATGAACAGTGCTACTATAAAAAAATGGCTGCAGGTATCTCTTTCATACAATGTATTCAAAACTTTCAGAACATACAAAGAGTAGATTACTCAATCATACAACAAGCTTATTTCTAATCATCTAAGAAATTTTACACTATTTTCCACAGGTCGGAATTAATTTATTATCCCATTAACACTGCAAAAATGTTCCCATTTTTCACATCATCACCAGCATGTGTTACCATTTCTTCCAAATATTAATAGCCATTTTGACAGGGTTGAGATGGTATTTCATTGTGATTTTGATTTACATTTCCCTAACAGTTACTTTCTGAGAACCACCTACTAAGGTATTTGATCATGTCTTTACTAAACTGAAGATTTTTATGTTGTTAAGGTCACATGGAGATTGAAAGATGAAATTGCCAATTTGAACAAAACATGGAAATTCTTGTGTCATGATATTTGTCAAATTTTTAAGTACAATGTAGAAACTTAAATCAAAGTTCAAATGGGGTAATACTAGAATGAGATTCCATTTCATCTGGCTGAGAATGCAAAAATTTGCTTTGGGAAAGGACTCCATTAATATGAGACATTCCAATGGAAGCACTGGTCATTCAGTGACACGAGGTGTGAGAGCAAGTAGTGTGAAACATGTGTAACTGCAGATTTCGGTAGAAATTTAAGAATGTGAAAACTAAATACCTTTCCAAATTAGCAAATGCTAAAATCTTAATAGTCCAAGAAGCCCATACTGCAAATACAATCACACTACAAAAAAATTTCTTAATAAAATGTGACCTTTCATGCATCCTAACTAGAAGGGGGCGGACCAGGCAGGGCCAAGCAAACTTCAACTCACAAAAAAGAAAAGAAATCAGGATGGAGCACATGTCATTCCGACCTAGGCTCTTACACCAACTAGTCTTCATGAGGCAGGGATACTTCAAAGGCTGAGACAGGTGAGGGGCTATGCTAACTGGGTCAGAGAACCCACTGAAAGGTGCACAATCTAGGGTTGGGAATAGACTCAGTTGGCGTACAACATTGCTGGGTTCAGATTCTCATGGGAGGGTGTGGGGGATAGAATGGGTTCTGCGTTCTGGTCTGGACACAGCTGCACAAAATTGTGGACTTGGGCTGGGCGCACTAAGCTGGGCTAGACACCAGCACGATCTTGCACTCTGGAGAACCTGGGTAGATGTAGGATGGAATAGGCTGGGTCTCTGCCCCTACTGAGCCATGTGTGATCAGTTTCTGGTATGGACAGGACTTGGCTGGGATGAAACAGCCAACACCAAGAAGTGGAATGAATGGAAGGCCAGCAATAAGGGCTGGCCCATGGAACCACCCATACACACAAGACCTGGGATAGGGAGAGGTTCTGAAGAAGGAGCTTGGGAAACTCCTCTGTTGGAACACAGCCCCTACAGCTGAGCACAAGAACTAAGATATGGAGCAACCCAGACCAGGGCAGAGGAAGATATCCACCATCATATATATGGTATGGGTGAGGGGCAGACCAGGCTGAACCTGATCACATCAATAGCTGGCAAATCTGAGCACCAGCATAGAGTGTGGGTCAGGCCAGGTTCAGTCGCAACACATATCAGTGCACATTAAGGAATGCCAAGGTGAGGTGAGCTGTACCAGATGTGGTCGCAGCACCCAACAGCACAGGTGAGAATCGGTGGAGGAGGAGGCAAAGCCAGCAGGGAAATGTTGGCTCCCTTGCTGGACAACCACTCCCATTGGAGAGCACGAGTTGTGATGGGGGCAGACCAGACCAGGCAGGGCTAGAACACTTGTGGGCCTCATAGTGAGCAAGATTGGGGAAGGGCCAGATTGGGCTGACTGTTGCAACTTGTGCAAGAAAAATTTAGAATGGGTAAGGGTTGGTTGGGCTTTGCCACATCATCAGATGGCAGAGGCTGGCACTGGGAGCTTAATCTCTTGAATTAAACTCCAGAACCAACTGGAGAGTGCACAATCTGAAAATTGGAGTGGCCTAGTAGGGAGATGGTGGGCACCTCCCTGATGGGTAATCACTCCCACTGGAGAGCACAAAAACAAGGACCAGGACAGGCTGGCTAGACAGAAAGGCACCAGCCAGATTCTGAGCTGGATAATAGGTTGGTTGGGTTGAACTAGGCTTCAATGCCCACTGACAAGTACGAGAGCTAAATGGGCTGTGGGACAGACTGAACAAGCCTGCGGTACATACTGGTTTGCATGGAAACCAGGGTAGGAAGCAGGCCTGGTCGGGGTTATGGGGAGTCGCCCCAACTAGGCTGCAGTTTCCACTGGTTAGCGTGGGGGCCAACTATGAAGTGGGTAGGATTGAGCTGGTTTAAGTGGAAGACAGGGCTGGAAACAGAACTGACCCAGCAATTGCAACCACCAGCATGTGCATAAGCTGATTGGGGTGAGGGAATGTGCCAGACCGTATACTGGAAAACTCACACAAGAATCGGATTTGGGATCATCTCAGATGAAGTTTTTTTGGAGACCCCTCCAACTGAACTGCTGATCACACAACCCCATTATGAAGAGACTATGTCAGCCAGTGGATTCTGAACAGGTTTTATTGTGACTAAAACAGCGAGATTGGCAGCAATTCAGACCTTCTGAACTATCAAAACTGTTTGAGCAGGACCCTTGGAGCGTGCCTCATATCTGGGACATGTGATGGGAGGAGGCTGAGTGGAGCTTTTCCCTTTGTTTCTCCTCAACCCCAGATGCAGGGACAAAACATTAGTGTGGAAACAGCAAAATATTACCCACCTCCCCCCCAAAAAAAAATAAGACAAGAAAAATGACCTTTCTTCACATTTGAGGTTTTCTTGTCTCCCTGTTTTTGAACATTTATTTACTTGAAAATCAGAGAGAAGGCCCAAAATGGTAGCCTAGTGGCAAAATTCCTCATCTTGAATCTTTTGGGATCTCATGAGTGTTGGTTTTAATCCAAGCGGCCCTCCTGCCCCTCTACCTCCCTGTTTGTAGCCCAGGAAGTCAATCAAAAACAGCTTTGGGCTTTGGGACTCAGTACTCACATGGCAGACCCGGAAGCCACCGTGTGCTCCTGGCTTTGGTTTGGCCGAACTCCAGCCATTTCAGCTATTTGGGAGTCAATCATTGTATGGAATATCTTCCTCTCTGTCTCTTCTCTCTGCATATCTAACTTTGCAATAAAAATAAAATAAATCTTCAAAAATAGGGTACTAGAGCACTGCCTATTTTTAACCTTCTCACAAACTTTGGAACCACTACAGTGTATCAACTGGAAGAAGTAGAGAATATCAGAGTTTCTGGGATCTGCCTGTATTTCCCTTTAAAGCTGTCAGGATCTGAGAACTGAACAGTGGCATGGTGGGCTGAGCTTCCCACATGAAAGCAGTTCATATCCTGAGTGTTCCACTTTCAATTCAGTTTTCTGCTTTTGCATTGGGAAAGCAAGAGATGATGGCTCAAGTCCTTGGACACCTGTACGCATGAGTGACACCCAAAAGAAGCTCCTGTCTTTGGATTGGCATAGCTCATGCCATTGCAGCCATGCACAGAACAAAGTTGTAGATGGAAAATCTCTCACTGTCCCAACTTTTCTCTGCAACTTTGCATTTCAAATAAAAACCAAAGAGAATGCAACAGGGGCCAGCCCTGTGCCTTAGCAAATGAAGACACTGGTATCCCATATGAACATGGGTTCATCACCTGCATGCTCCACTTCAGATCCAACTCCCTAACAACAGGCCTGGAAAGAAAGTGGAAGATGGCTCAAGCACTTGGATGCCTGTCACTTAGTTGGAGACTTGGACAAGACACCTGGATCATGGCTTCAGACTTGCTCACCTCTGGTCATTCTGGTTATTTGATGGGCAAACCAGCAGATGTCTTTCCACCTATCTCTTTCTTAGTAGCTCTGCTTTTCAAATTAATAAATCTTAGAAAAAAATGAAAAAAAAAATACCCTGCAATAGGAAATGGCATTGTGGCCAATCAGGCAAAGTTACCATCTGTTTTACTTCCAATCTAGCTCTAAGTCAATGTGAATTGGAAACAGTGGAAGATGGCTCAAACACTTGAGTGGGAGACTGATGGACCTCCTGGATCTGCTCTGACATGATCCAGCCCTGCCCATTGTGACCACTGGGAGAATTAATCAATGGATAGCAGACATGCCTGTCTCTGTCTCTCTCCTTCTCTTTCTTCAACTCAGTCTTTGAAATAAAGAGTTTATTTAAATCTTTAATAAAAGAACATGCAGCATATTTTGTTCTCTACACATTCCTGTTGTGGCTCATAAATGTAGTACCCTCCAAATGTTAGCCATCACACGATTTCAGCAATTCCAGTAAAGCAAAACTGGAAAGTTAACAGAAAACAAAACAAAACAAAACAAAACAAAAATTCTTGTATAATTGGACTCGTACTACTCCAAAATGTTGAGTGTTTATTTTCATTTATGTATTAAATAATTTTCATGTTATCATGTACATCAATAAACACCATTTCAAACTTGATGTCCTACAATCATGAACAAATTCTTCATTTTAATTTGAATCATGTAAAAATAGCTCTGTCATGATATGGCATCAGAAAACCTTGAGCAAAAGTTTTCAATTAGGTTTGACAGCTCCAATATCTGAGTTATGACAATTTTACGTTCTTTCTCTCATACTTGTTTTTTCATTTAGTTTAAAAACCATCATAAAGCTCCTCAATACAATATAAAGCAAACTGAGAAGTAAACAAACAACTTACTGAAGGCGTGCTTGTGTTCTCCAGCCTGGGAAGCATGTAGCAGGCTTCAGGGCTACACCTGCAAGAGAAGGTGGAGACAGGGAGTTACGCATTGGTCTTGCTTGTCCCCAGGCACCCTAGTGGTTCCTACTGTGCTAAGCAATGTCAACTTAGAGGCAGACACAACAGATGGAGAAACAATAGCGTTCACCTTCCCTGGGCAAGAATAGTGCTTTACAAGTGCCAGGAGAGTTTCCCTTGAACAGTATCAACACTGTCATTAATTGGCAGTGGTTAAATTCAAGTTATCATTTGGTTCATGCAAACAAAAACTACTGTTTTTGAAATAATATTTCCGGATCTAGCACTGTACCCTAGTGGCTAAATTCCTCACTTTGTATGTGCCAGGATCCCATATGGTCAATGATTCATATCCTGGCTGCTAGATTTCTGTTTCAGCACTCCGCTTAGAGCTGGGAAAGCATTCAAGAACGGCTCCTTCCCTTGGGTCCCTGCGTCCACATGGGACTTGGAAGAAGCCCCTGGATGTTGGCATGTGATTGGCTCATCTCCAGTCACTGCATCTACTGGGGGAGTGAACCAGCTCTTACAAGAGCTTTCTCTCATCTGTGTAAATCTGACTTTCTAATGAAAATATCAATATTAAAATGATGTTAGTGTCAAGCACTAACTTATTTTTTCAACAACTATTATTCAAATTATACCATACCATACACATATTATCAAATTTATGCTACAGAAAAATACTTGGCTGGTATTAAGAATTTCTCTATTTCTACTAATGAGCTGCATAGGACTCTATATAAGGACTTCCAGTTTTTGCTGCTAATATTAGAAAACTGTATAGAAGGCAAATATCTTACAATCAGAATAATTCTGTGTAAACCTACATATGAAAATGGATATAATGTGGAGAGCAGAGCTGCGCCTCAATGATGGCGCTTGTTGACCATTGCTTCGTGGCACAAAGGTGGTAAACAGGTTTTGGGAAGTTACTGAGAATTGGGCTGAACACGCAGGGAAGCTATGTGACCTAAGTCATGATTGGTCTGCTTACCACATGATGTGAGGAACTGTGTATGGATTGGTTTGTGTAATGTAAAAAGGTCTGGGTGAAAAATAGTTAATGAGAAGATTCTCCCAGGCGCGCTTCAAGGCTAGAGCTAGAGCTAGAGCTATCGCTATTGCTTCAAGGCTATTGCTAGCTAGCACTAGGCTGCTTTTGCTTTACTGTAATAAATCTTAAAAGTGCTGTAACTGCTTTCACTTTGACATAACACTTGAAGTCTTGACCAATAAACTTTTTAAAGAATCTTTACCATATCGGGGTCTTGCTCGTGGGATGAGGGACCCCGATAATATAATACACATTTATTCTAATCAGCCTGCTAGTAATTGCTCAAAAGGGAAGTTCTTAAGACTTTAATTACATTTCCCAGTTCCTAAACCCTCAATCACACCAATCACACTTGACCTTGCCATTGTATTTGCCTTAGCCCATAGGACATCCATAAATATGAGAGCATCATAGTTTGAAAAGTATTTTCACTTTACCTTATCAAATAGCTACATTCTGCAACAGCCAGAGAAAATCATCAGACTTGGAGGAGCGAATGTCATAATACAGGAGGTTGGTTTGTCTCTTGGGACACATCACATCTGATACTCAAATGCCTTATTTATGCGTACTGGCTATGTAACAGTTCCAATGAAGTATCCTGCTATTGTGGCTGGACCATATTGAATGGGTTCCAAGAAACCCCTGGGAAGCCTAGATGGATTTCTCTTGCTGGACTAAGCATGGCAGGGTCCTCACACCTTGGCAGTGAATCAACCCACTGATGGAACATCTCCCTCCTCTCTGCTATCTACCTTTCAAACAAATGCTGCATTTGTAAAAATAATTACAAAAATATACTGTATCTAAAACTACATATTTTAAGTTGATTTATGGACATATCTTGGTGAGCAATAAAGAATTGCATTTCAAATTTAATTAAGACAATTTCCTGAAAACAATTCCACAACTCTTATATTTTTACAGGTACATAAGCACTTTACTTTTTCCCTCCCACTATTTTGTTTGTAATTTGATGAT